GCCCAGACTGCCCCAGGTACACTCTGAATTTGGAAATTTTATAAATGCTAAAGTTATCCTGGAACTAGCACTACATAATTATATTGTATTTTTGTGTACTAACCTATTTGTTATCTGCAGCCCTTTAAAATAAACTGCAACTGGGGTGCCTGGGTGGCTTAGTCGGTTGAGTGTCCGACTTTCGCTTAGGTCATGATCTCGTGGTTCGTGGATTCGAGCCCCGCGTCGGGCTCTGTGCTGACTGCCAGCTCAGAGCCTGGAGCCTGTTTTGGTCTGTGACTCCCTCTCTCTCTGACCCTCCCCTGTTCACGCTGTCTCTCTCTCTCTCTCTCCTAGAAATAAAATAAATAAATAAATAAAATAAACTGCAACTTTTGTTAATTTAGAACTGGTGTTTTTCTATTGAGGCATCTTAAGAAGAAATGGCCAGGATAGCCTTTAAGAGGCTCAGTACACATGGAGGAGGACACTTGTGGGGATGAGCACTGGGTGTTATGTGGAAACCAATTTGACAATAAACTATTTGTAAAAAAAAAAAAAAAAAAGAGGCTCAGTACTCAAAGAAGGGGGGATTTTGTGGGTTGTGGACGGGGGTAGAGAGGGCCGTAAATTTTGTGTCTGAAGGATTGGTCGGGTTTTGATTATTCTGAAGAGAATGGGCGATATCACCATGGATGTGTCCCTCCCAGAGTGAATCAAGTCCCTTTTCTCAAAGGGACACTTATCCCTTTCCTTGTCCCCACTGTCCCTGAAAGGAAAGCCACTTCTGTGACATGGGTGATCAGCACGTCCCCACCACCTGCACTGGCTCAGTCCTGCAGGTTCCCGCTCAGGGTGGGATGTGGGGCTGGGGCTCCACCTGAGATTAGGAAAGACTCAGCTCTGTCGATGGAAGCAGGCTGGGGCCACTATTCCTGTCAGTGTTGGTGTGGACAGGGGACATTTAGGGGAATGAAGCAATGTTTAATTGCAGGGCAGTGTTGAGCTGTTTCATTTGCACCTGAAAAGAACAATAATGCTGTCCTAATTAATTGAGACAGAAGTTATAAATCAGGGCTTCCAGAGAGGTCCCTGGGGTTCACCTTGTCAGGATTTTCTTACAGGAGGGTTTTGGAGGCTGCCCAAAGAATGACATTTTGGGGGCTTTGGGGGTTTAGAGTCTGAAGTCCATCCACCTGCCAGCCCTGGGATGACAGGTCATTGTGTCGTAGACTCCGGGTTCTCAATCAGTACCGCGTGCATGTGTGTGTGTGTGTGAGAGAGAGAGACAGAGAGAGAGAATCTGCACTTGGGTTTCCACCCCCAAAATATCAGAGGGGCTCTGCTATAGCTCCTCCCTCTGCCACGTAGTGCTCCATGGCTTTCTGCCATAGCTGAGTCACCCTTCCTAATTTCTGTTAAATGCTTCCTAATGACCCCTGAACTTCAGCTTCTTCTGTTTCTCTGTCACCCACACTATGTCAGCAATGAAGTCATGTTGATTCCACTCCTGAGGTGACTCTCAGAGCTCTGTTTTTATTAACCCACATATAAATTGGTTTCTTATATGCCAGACACTGTTCAAATCTCTTTGTAAAAGTAATATATACAGTAATCCTCTTTATCCGTGGGGGATATGTTCCAATACCCCGAGTGGATGCCTGAAATCACGTGTAGTACTGAACCCTATATAGATAAGGCTTTTCTCCTATATGTACAATACTTAGGATAAAGTTTAATTCATAAATTGGGCACAGTAAGACATTAACAGTAACTAATAATAAAATAGAACCATTTATAACATACTGTAATAAAAGTTATGTGAATGTGATCTCTCCAAATACTGTATTATACTGTACTCACCCCTCGTCATGATGTGAGACGATAAAAAGCCTCCATGATGACTCGGCCTGAAGAGACTGACACGGGCACCCTGATGTAGCGTTAAGCTACTATTGACCTGCAGATTCTTCAGGAGGAAGAGTCTTCTGCTTCTGGCGGGTAACTGAAACCTCAGAAAGTGAAACTACGGATAAAGAGGACTACTGTATCTCTTCTAAGGATGCCAATTAGATGGATTAGATTCATTTAAGCCTCACAAAAAGTCTATGATGAAATGTCAGCCCTGATTTGCAGAGGAGTAAAGTGAGGCACAGAGAAGTTGTACAAGTTGTCTTAACCTCACAGAACTAGGGAGTAGCATAGATGGGAACTGAACCCAGGCCACGTGGCTCCAGAGCTTGGGAGCTCAGCCACTCACCCCACTGCCTCTCCTCAGGAAGAGCCTAGACTCGGCCTCAGCACTTCCTGCCTGAGTCCCTGCACGTGGCCAGCGGAACTTTTGAAAACGTGTAGTTACGTAACACAAACACGTTAATAAGGTGTATTACTGTAGAGTGTATTTTGAAATACTGTAACCCTCCAGGTCGAAAACCATAGAAAGCAAAAAAAAAAAAAAACCAAAAAAAACCCCAACCTTTTCAAGTTGGTTGGCCCAGGGAATTGCAAGATGTAGTGAAGCTATTTCCATAGCTCAGTGGCACCAGGTGAGCTCGTAAATAGATAACCTCCCTCCTTTTTCAATCCCGTGGGGCTCTCAGGGTTGTTGAAACGCTTTGGAAATTCAGTGAGTGAGTCTGTTGCTAGTGCCCCGTTCTGTTAACAGGCACTGTTGTTAGAGATGAGAGTCATTTTCACATCCCGTAACAATGGCATCCGAGAGTCAGTTAAGTGGCAAAGCTTGCAGTAGCGTTCCAAAAATGGAACAGACGTCAATAGCTTCGGACTGGAGGTGAGAGGTGCTAAAATGCCATAAAGAAGGCTGAATAAGCACCGGGATACACGCCGCTGCCCACTTAGAAGCAAGCCCTCTGCAAAACAGCGGAGATGGTGCCCAGAAAGGAAAACTGGCTGAAGCCAAAAGCCTGCTTCTCAGGTTACAGATTTATGCAGAGTAAGGAACCCTCCCATTTTACATAGACTTCTTTGGGAAGATTAGGCTTGTACATGTTAATTTCTAATTGAAGGTGACTGCCCTGTGGTCAGCTCCAATGGGTGTTTTTCATTCTTTTCTCTTCTTACCACTGAGAGAATGGCTTTCAGATTAGTTCTGCTAACAGGCTGATCCTGCCCCTATAAGGCTCACAAACCTCATGCGGCTCCTCATGAGGTTCTGGTGGTCAAGCTCTTCAATCAGAACGGGGCTGAGTCTCCCCATGAGACCAGAGACACCCAAGGTGGGGGACCTGACTCCTCCTCATGCACTCACACCAGCGGGGCCACACTTCGAGTCCCCATCAGAATCTAACCATTGGGTGAGGCATTTATGTATTGGGAGTGGACATCATCTGTAGGGGTCCCAGTACCTGGGATGGGTTAGGATGGGAGCTCCTGGATGCCCAACAGGTATCTTGCTAGTTCTGTGCTTCATTAAACGTTTATGTGATGGATGAGTGAACAGCCCTTATAAGGTTCTTTGCCTTTGACTTCTCTATTCTCAGGACCAGACTCCAAGGCAAAGGCGAAAAGGTCTCTAAAATCTCAGGCAGTACTGGGTTTCATTGCCTTGGTCTAGACCAGGCAAATGACCTGGGTAATAAAAAAAAATCCATTAAACATTTCTTATATTTGTCTGAGGCAGAGTTTCTCAACTTTGTCACTGTCGACATATTGTGTGCTGGATAATTCTTCTGTGTGTGGGAGCTGTCCTGTGCATTGCAGGGTGTTAGGCAGCAGCCCTGGCCTGCAGTCGCCAGTAGCACCCCTGAGTCAAGTTATTAAATCAAACATGTCTCCAGACATCGCCAAATGCCTCCGGGCAGGGGCTAGATTACCTTCAGGTTAGAGATAATGGTCTAGGGCAGGGAGTCCCAGCTCCGGTGGCTTATTAGATTCAGGTGGGGAGCTTTACAAACTGATGCCTGGGTCCCACCTGGACACACTTGGGCGTAACTGGTTCTGAGGAGCGGCCTGGGTAGAGGGACTTCTGTGAGCTCCGCAGGGGGTTCTAATGCTTAGCCAGGTCTGAGAGCCACTGATCTGGTCCTCGGCAGTCTACAAATTTTATACGCATTACAAGCTTCACAGCACACCTGGGCGGGAGGTGAGGTAGATTGCTAGTGGGGCTTTTCTGACGTGAGAAGTGAGATCCAGAGGCCTGTGGTATTGCCCTGTGAGTGGTGGAGTGAGAACTGGAGCTCAGCTCCTCTGGCTCCTAACCCAGTCACTCTTCCAAGGGGCAGGGCACAGCCTAAGGGGAATTGATGTTGAAGGGGGTCCTAGATGGAAGACTTCCGTTTTGCAGTGGTTTTCCCCTATCCTGGTGTCTCATCTGCTCACCCGCCTTTCAGCTTTCCTGAGTGTCTCTATATAAAGGCACACTAGCAGTCATTTACACTTTAGGGCAAACATGAGGCTGCTTTCCCTCTTCTAGACGGTTCTGCAAGTTATGCCTCATCGATCATAGTGAAAAAGAAGGCTTTACATCAGCTCATAAATGAGGTGGGAATGGCTTTGAGGTGTTAACCTGTGTGCTCATGACACCTCTGAAATCAAGTCCAACTGGTAATTGCCTTGGATTAAGGTTCACCTCATTCTAACTTTGGTTTACAATTCTATCCAGTTCCGTCTCATTCATGAGTCATTTTTAGAGCATCTCCTATGTGTACAGTATGGAGATGGAGATCGCTGGTGGTCGGATCTCCTTAACTTGGCTTTAAGTTCCCAGGGTGGAGGGCATCTTTTCCTGCTTGTGGCATTCACTACATTTTGGTCCTAACTGGACATGTAATAGGCAAGATACTTAATACAAGGATAATCAAATGTCAGCTCACATGTCCTGAACCCACAGGCCTGGGCCCCTGGGGAAAGACCTCACAGGTGCGAGGTCAGGACTAAATCTGCAGGTTTGTGGATGATATTCCTCCCTCAGCCCGGGGGGTGGCAGCAGGAGACGCTGGCTTCAGAAGCCACCGAGAAAGCGTTGAGCACAGTAGAGTTTTAAAGCTTCTTCAGAACAGATATACTGAGCAGAAATCACTTTTATTGGGATGGCTTCGTTTTAAGAAAAAGAAAAGAGACAAAGCCAAGAGAGAGACTGCTAACAGATGCCCAGGAGTGGCTGGACATTTCTGCCCCATGCTGTGCAGAGAAGGGGATTCTGGCCCACACGTCCATGCCACTCATTCCTCAAGATCAAGGTCTGCTCAGGCGTCAGTGCACTTTCTTGAATACTTGCTTGCAGACCACACCCTGCACTCTCATCTCCTGAAACAAAAGCAGATGCTTGTCATTGGCCAGAGCAAGGTCACACCTGGGGCTCAGTGAATGCAGGGGCAGGAACTTCGAAAATACTCAGTGCCTGTTATTTTTCCTCAAGAGTAGGTTCGAACTAACCAATTCCTTAGAAAGTCAGTTAAACTGGATCAGTGGAGATTGGGCCCTGCTATGCCCTGTAGGCAGAGCTGGCTGGGAAACAAATGTGGCTCAAAGCTGGCCAGCAGGACCCTCTGATGCCTCCCTTCCCCCTACTACAAGGGGCCAAAAGGCTTTAAGAACCTCAGTCCTGAGCCCAGGACAGAGTCTGTGCCCAAGCTTGGAAGAAATCAGGCCCAGACACATGGGGATTCAGTTGGTCGCCACAGGCCGAAGCTGCAAACTGTGGAATTCTAAGCTTCAGCTGCGTATTAGAATACCTGAGGAGTCTGAAAAATGCCTGAGTCCCAGGCTAGCCCAGTAACTCAATGTTTTATCAATGTCTCAGTGGGTGGAGCCTTGGAATTGCTATTAGTAAAAGCTCCCAGGTAGTACTAAAATGCAGCCCAGGAAGCCCATGCCTCGCTTACAGGACAGCCCCTGCTGAGTGGCCGGGGGAATGACAGCACAATGTCACCACACATTCCAAGTTCTTGTTTTGTTGCATTTTGTGTTTTGAAGGAGGCTGGAAATCTGAATACTTATGTGACATCTCCTCATTTTTAAACTGTTGCCTGAAGAAGTCTGAAGCTCACTGATGGCCAAATAAAAGAGGCCCGAGGCCCCTCCCCACATTCGCAATCTCTGGCACAGAGTCACAGAACTCCTGAGCTGAAAGAGCCAGTGGAGATCACATAATCTACCTTCGTTGCTCTGCAGTTGAGGAAATAGAGGCCCAGGGAGAAGGCTGGCGCAAGGTCAGGCGTGGCAGCCCAGGCTCTCCCTCTGCCTTAGCCTAAGCTGCCTCTGAAAGTAACGCCCTCGCGCCTCTTCTCAGCACTCACATGGACCCGGATCTTCGCTGAAAACCTAAGTGGTAGGATGGCATTTTGCAGATGAGGCTCAGGGAAGGAAGGTACTTACTCAGAGGTACCCAGTGAATCAGGAGTTGAACCCAGGTCACCTGGACCAGGTTCTTTTCTCAGAAGGAAGGTAGTCGGGGAGTTCCAAGGGGACAGGAGTGATGGCAGGTCTCCTTTTGGGGGACATGTTAACAGTTATTTTAGCTCTATAGGTGCTAAGCCTCTTACTCTGGACTTGTGAGTGCTTTTCCCAGACAATGGATGGAGTAGAAATAGCTTTGACCAGAGTTCCCAGGCCAGAGGCCCCCACCTGAACTGAGAAAGGCTTCTCTTCCCCTGACCTAGACCGTTGAGATCATGTCTTAGAGAAGCTTAAAGAATTCTCCTTGATTCTAGCCTGCCACAGCTTGGCATGGTGAACACAGACATCGTTTGGGAGCAAATTTCAGTTCTTCCATTTTCTAGCTGTGTAATTTGGCTGTGAGACTCCATGTTCTCATCCCCAAAATAGGACCCCTAATAGTACTTGACCCATAGGGCTACTGGAAGAACAGAAAGAGATACGGAATACGAAAGAGTTTAGCTCCATTTTTTTTTTTTAAATTTTTACTGTTTTATTTATTTTTGAGAGAGAGATAGAGACAGCGTGAGCAGGGGAGGGTCAGAGAAAGAGGGAGACACAGAATTAGAAGCAGGCTCCAGGCTCTGTCAGCTCTGAGCTGTCAGCACAGAGCCCGACGTGGGGCCCGAACCCACGAGCCATGAGATCATGACCTGAGCCGAAGTCGGATGCTTAACCGACTGAGCCATCCAGGTGCCCCTAGCTCCATTTTTGATGCTTAGCAGACGCATTTCTCACTTCATGTCTGTCTCTGACTGGACAGCTGAGTCAGCCTAGACCTTGAAAACTCAGTGCTCAGGTTTTTGTTTTTTTTAAATTTTTTTTAAAAAATTTATTTATTTTTGAGAGAGAGATAGAGTGTGAGCAGGGGAGGAGGAGAGAGAGGGAGACAAAGAATCCGAAGCAGGCTCCAGGCTCTGAGCTGTCAGCACACAGCCTGATGTGGGGCTCGAACTCATGAGACATGAGATCATGGCCTGAGCCGAAGTCAGATGCTCAACCGACTGAGCCACCCAGGTGCCCCAGTGCTCAGTTTTTCAAAAGCCACTCAAGGGTCTCCTCCAGGCCCTTGGAAGAGAAGCTTCAGAGCAGAACCAAGGCCTAGCCACAGGGTATTCTTCCAAGATTGACTGGACCTCACCAGTGATTAAGCCTCTGGGCCCAGCTCTGCCCCCCTCTCCCCACCAGCAACCTACCAGGTGCAGCTCGTCACCCTCAATCCACTGGGTCCAGCCACGTCCCTCCTTTTCACCCTTCTGCACACACTCGAGCTTGTCCCCATCCCAGCTCACCGTGGTCTGCCAAGCAAAGGAACATAGTTGTCAGTCTTGAGCAAGCAGCCCCGACCTTGATAACCCAGGGTATGCTCAAGTCAATTTCATTACGGAACATTTGCAGCCGAACTCTGTCCACCATGTGTCTTATTACAATATGCAAATAAGTTTTATTATTATTTTTTTAATGTTTATTTATTTTTGAGAGAAAGACAGACTGTGAGTGGGGGAGGGATAGAGAGAGAAGGAGACACGAATCCGAAGCAGGCTACAGGCTCTGAGGTGTCAGCACAAAGCCCCATGCGGGGCTTGAACTCACTAACTGTGAGATCATGATCTGAGCCAGAGTTGGAAGCTGAACCGAATGAGACACCCAGGCATCCCTATTTTATCATTTTTTAAAGTATTTATTTATTTTGGAGAGAGAGAGAATGTGTGTGCGCATGCGAGGAGGTTAGGGGCAGAGAGAGACAGTGAGAATCCCAAGCAGACTCTATGCTATCAGTGCAGAGCCCGACATGAAGCTTGATCTAACAACAGTGAGATCATGACCTGAGCTGAAATCAAGAGTCGGATGCTTAACCAACTGAACCACCTAGGTGCCCTTGCCAATCAGTTTTAAAATTTACAAAAACTTCCCTAAATTTCACTTAAAGGGGTAATTAGGAGAGAAAACGTTATTAGGGTGGGGCTCTCGGAGCTGGGGCTGAGTAAGGGGCTGCGAAAGGAGGAGAGGCTTCCGAGGGTTGAGTGCACATCAGGTGGGCAGAGAGAGGCTATAGTCCTGAATCTTGCAGGCGAGGTTGACTTCTTCGAGTACCCTGCCTGTTTCCAGACCTTACTACCTTCCTTTTTTCCTTCCTCTCTTCCTCCCTTCCTCCCTTCCCTTATTTCAACACTTGCAAGGTCTTAGAACACCTAAAAACCTCGAGCCCTGCCCTCAAAGAGCTTTTCATCTTCTGGAGAATGACCTTAGCTATAAATAACCAACTGTAGGTACAAATGGCAGCTCTTCTAGGTACTCTCTGTGTGGTCACTAAATCCTCAGGACTGTCCATTTGGAGCATGGATTAGCTGCTCTGATTTCCAGGGCAGGTTAAGGGACTGGCCAGGTTCACCCAGATGGTCAACGGTAGAGCCAGGTCAGAATACAGATGGGCCTCTGAAGCCCTCCTCCCCACCTAGACTACACTGTTTCCCTAGGTGCCCAGTGTCACCAGACGTACAGGCCAGATACTGTGGGGTCCCAGATGAGAGCCAGGGAAGAGGAAGGTCTGGGAGGAGGTAGCACCAGGGCTGGGCCTTGAAGGAGAGGAGAATGAAGCTGGAGTGGAAGAAAGGGGGTGCTGGGGGATCACCAGAGGATGAAGGCACTGAGATGGGACAGCCTCAGGCATGTTCAGGAGGCTCCTCAGGCAGGTTCCTGGGAACCATGGGGGAATGAGGCAGCTCCCACTGCCCTGCCGGTGCTCATTGCCACCCGACTCCCCACCGCTGAACCCTCGCATCTTCCTTAAGCCCTCTGTGCCCTTCCCAGGTGCTGGGCATGCTGAAGGGGATTCAGACAGCAGGAGGAGGGGAGCCACAGGGCTTAATCTAGGCCCACGAGAAACTTCACAGTCCTACTGGAGTGGCAAAGGCTCACTCAGAAATATAGGGCTTAAGTTTTGGAATTTATTTTTTTTAAATATTTATTTATTTTGGTGACAGCACAAGCTGGGGAGAGGCAGAGAAAGGCGGGCAGAGGATCTGAAGCGGGCTCTGCGCTGACAGGCTGATAGCAGTGAACCTGATGTGGGGCTCAAACTCACAAACTATGAGATCATGACTTGAGCCGAAGTCGGACACTCAACCAACTGAGCCACCCACGTGCCCCAATTTTAGGAATTTAGAAGCATTAGACTCACAGTCTAGGCTGGGATCTGTGTGCAGGCACAGTGGGCACCTCCCATATTTGCAGCTACCCACCTCCCCTTGCACAGCCTTTCCATATGTGGCAATCCCGCATTATGAGCCCTGCCTCCCCACTGCTGCTTTTAAAACTCCATTTTCCCCTTGTTCACTGTAGGGCTCAAGGCAATTCTGTCCCATCACTGGGCCCCTGTGTTCCCATCTGTCATAGGAAAGGGTCAGAGGCCATTAACTCACAGGCCTTGGCTTTACAGAGGCAAGTTTCTAGGATTCATGTGTTCCTGGCCACGTTCAGCTGTCCAGCTGATAGTCAGGACAGTCAGCAACAGCCCGATAAGGATTTAGGAGAGAAGTCTGGGAGATGGGTATGGAGTGAGCAGGGCCACTTTCTATAGGAGGATCACTTCCTCCTTCTCCACACCCCTAGTCATCCCCCGCAGGCTCACTGATGACTGCTGCCCTCTGCTGTCAGGATGAAGCCTGCAATGCAACACAGGCACAGGGGGACAGGTGGTGCCAGCTGTGTGCAGGAATAAATATGATGTTCTGTCCTGGAGGCTGTTTCCAGAGGGAGACGGAGCACTGGAGAACCTGGGGTGGGAACGTTCCTTTCTGGGGTCTAGAGATCATTCAGGGCACATGTCCAGCCAAAGAGAAGCTCCCACCTTCAAATCAGAACATAATGAAGTTGAAGTCTGATGAGGCGCGTCATGGGCAAAGACTACTAATGAATAACCCAAGTCACAAGACAAGATGCTCGTTCACTGGGCACCCTGTCCATGCCAGGCTTGTGAAGGGAAATGGGGATGGAGAAATCAGAGATTCCTCGACTTCCAGGAGCTCATAAGACTACTTGGCTTCCTCATCAACTGAACTTCTCTTTGTGTGTTTATCTAGATGTCTACTCAGCATACTAAAGGCTCCGGACTCAATCTGAGGCTAAGAAAAGATTGCTGGTTTCCAGTTACAATACACACACTTCTGCCTCTGCCAGATATATTAGAGTCAATAAGCACATTCAGGCCCTCTGTGCTGGAAAATACAGAAATGCTCAAAGGAGAACACAGTAATAAAAAGAATACCTATAATCTTGCTTCCTCAGAGGTAATTACTCTAACATTTTGGTGTTAGATATAATACATGTATATATTTCTGTTTTTAAAAAATTAGGATTGCATCGTTTATGGTTTTATACCCTAGTTTCTTCATTTAATAGAAGCAATTTTCCACTTCAATAAATATACCCCATAAGCATTATTTTAATTGTTACATAATATTAAGGGAATGGCTATATAATTTGTGGGACCCTGCAGAAAATGAAAATGAGGAGCTCTTTAGAAAAATGACTAGGAATTTTAAGACGGTGACAGCACGCATTAAACCAAGTGAGGGGCCTTCTGTCCCCTGTGGCCTCTGTGATTGCACTTTGTCACAGGACCATGAAGCTAAGCCTGCTAGTATTACATCATATACACATACTATTATTTAGCCCATCTGTATTCTTGGACATTTAGGCTATTTATTATTCTGTGCTATTACAAATAAGACTGCCTGGTATTCCCAGTTTTGAACACGTCAATTTCTTGGAATAAATTTACAGAAGCAGACCTGTTGCATTAAAGAGTATGCATATTTTTAAGACTTTTGATAACTATTGCCAATTTGATCCCCAGAAAGCTCACACCTGTTTACCGTCCAACACCAATATCAGGGCACGAGCTTGAAAAAGATGTTCATTAATGGTAAGGCAGGCTTTGCTCCTGAACTAACGTGTTACCTTTTCCAGATCATTTGACGTCTTTTAACAGGGACCATTTGGATATAAATAATAAAATACCTTACCAAAATAATGATGGGTAGCAGAATTTCAGGCATCATGAGAAATGGCGGGCTAGAGGGAGTGGGCAGAAGGATCTTTGGGCATAGAGAACCCTTTCTTAGAGCCCTACAATCAAGCCTATTAAAGAGAAGAATACCTAACACACAAATGCTATGGTAGTTTCCAAAGGAGACACTATCTCAACCCCAAGTTCTGTTGACTCTGACCCTGGTTGGTAAGTTGGACAGAACAGAAATTATTCTCATCTGTACTGGATATATACAGGGGAGGCTGAGCTCAGAGATGTTGAGGTACTTTCTCAGGGTCACCAGGCTAACAAGGAAAGAATCTGGGCTGAACCATGAGGCTTGCATGACTCTGTGTCCCTGTTTCCCAGCCTGGGGCAGGGCCCCCAGCAGGTGCCTGCTAATGTCTCTGGGGGCCGCAGATACAATAGGCATTTTGCTGAGACTCTGAGAAGCTCCCACAAGAACACCTTTCAATTCAGTCCAACCACTGTTGGGTGTGGGTGCTGGAAGCCAGAAATGGGTCCTAAAGGGATCATCGCTGAAAACGGCAGGTGGAGAAGTGCCAGGCGGGTACAGCCTGGTGTAGCTGGCTCTGGGATTAGGGGAAAACCAGGGGCTGTGGTGCCTGGAGGGGCTCCTCCTTCTCACAGGAAACATAAACGAGCTTTTTTTTTTTTTTTTTTTTTTTTTAAGTGGGAAGGCATTCCAAACAGTGAGGAAGGACAAGCTGGCCAGTGCCATAAAAGTTATCCTGGAGTTAAGGAGAGGGGGGAATGAGGCCGGGGGAGTCGACGGGGCCACAGTGCCAGGCTAAAAACTGGGACTGTGGCCCTCAGCATGTTTCCAATGCCTGCCAGTGCCACCCGCACCCTCACACAGCCCACTGGCTTGGATCTGCTGGTGGAACCTATTGGCCAGGGAACCCACTGAGCCGTCCTCCAGGCTAAAGAGGGCAGGGAGCTCCGCCATCCTGTACACAGGGCTCCTGGTACCTGACCCCTCCCACCACCCACTCACCACCTGTAGCAGGTTGACCCAGTACTGTCAGCCATGACCATGTGCCTAGGAGTCGACAGACCTGGGACCTCTGTATCTAGCCGTGAGGAATGACTCTGGGCAATGGGAGTAACCTGAACTTCAGCACCCTCATCTACAAAAGAGAGATTGATGGGTCACATATCCACACCCTTGTGAAGTCCCCTCCTGCACTGACTCTGGGCTTGACCGTGTGACTTCCTTTGGCCCATGGGACATTAGCAAGCATA